TCCTTCAGTATACAAACAAATTACAATGCTTCACTGGCTTACCTGGAGAAGGCCCTCCCTGCCTGGAGTCTACCGACCAAACCTTCAAAACGAATTTATAACAGCGCTGACCGAAAGGGAATTTAGCTGCGGGAAAACACGTCCGCACTCAACTATGTCCAGGCAGAGAGAGGTCTGACTTCAGTCGACGGCCAAGGACATAGACCACAGGAATGACGTAAGCACGCCACGGATTATAGAGTAAACAAATGTGAAGAGGAGGGGGGGGGACAGAGCAAGCCGCTGCCGCCATCTACGAAGGGGGCACCTCATTTCAGTGAGCCGAAGAGATCGGCTCAGGATTGGCTCAGTTCTTCCTTAATTTCTGCAACAGAGCAGTCTAGGGGGATGCCTCTAATGATGCCTTTCCTAAAAACTTTCATCCAAGGCAACCAAATCATCAAACCGTGTTGTTTCGGGTAGGGGGAGGTTAAAGCGTAGTTAGCAGTGTCTCGTGTATTGAAAGTGATTTCCCACGTGTTTCTCGTAAGAGGGGTCACTAGATCGTATTTTACGATAGATTTCTCTAGCATTCGACATACTTCGAGTGCCATTAGCGGTCTGGTATTATTTTCACGGTTTCCTCTGAGGTGGAGGACAAAGGGCCCTGCATCCTCTTTGGTGAAGGTGAGGGCTGCGGTTGCGTTATCGAAGCTGTTACCTGTTGTCGTGGCCGGCGGCGCAGCGATGTTGTCTGTAGTGGGCGGTTGTGGGTTTCCAACTGTCCGTTTCTTGTTTAATAGGGCATTGCTTGGTGGGCTCCTACTGCGTCGTCTCAGCTTTGTCTTCACCATCGTAGTTCCATCACAGTCCATCAAGTTTACGTCTTTATCCGGACCACTCATCTAGGATGGGCCCTGGGCCGCAGAGCGGCAAGTAGAGGTTGTGTTTTTGTTATAACTGTGTGTTGGATGTATTCACTCTGATTAACGATTTACGACACGAATATCACAGTAAACCAATGACCACGTCACTTAAAACATCAAACCGTAATAACAGTTCGCAATGTAGAAGTTTCGTTCGTAGCTAACAATTTCGTTCCGCACAGTTCTCTCTACTACCGTCGAATCCAAGAGAAGATTCTCCACTTTCTGATGTATTGGTGACATCTGGCTGCAAAAGAAGTGACTGCTGGCGAAGGCATGTCGTAGTTTCTCGATGTCTGGTACACCCTGTAGATTCGAAGTACGCCAACATCTCACTTGGTAGAGGTAACCGGGATCTTGTTGCTCCAATGTAACAATCCGTGTAGTTGATCCCTTCTTTACTGAGATATAAGAGTTCACGGCAGAGGTCAAGGACTGTGAATCGGTCTTTTGGCACAGCATATCTAGCCTTGTACTTAAGGTAAGGTTTGAGGAAGATGTAACGGCATTGTCCATGGTGGTTCGAGCAACTATGGATGACATGGATGTGCCCGGCATTACTGTTTGATCTTTCGAAGTGTAAGCCGAACACACGGATGGGTTGGGATTTGTTGATTCTTTCGATAGAAGAGGGGTAAGCAAGTCTATTAAGAATTTGTTCACATTCCATCGCATCTTTATAGGGTATAACGTGTCTGTTAATGTAGTCTCTTCTAAATTCTGAATGTAACGTGTCCAATTGACGTCTGACAGACACTTCTCTCGTTCCTAGTCTCCCACATTGTAGATAATCTGTAAGACTCGTCTGAATAGGTCCAATATCTGATGTTCTTCCTTGCACATTTTGTGATATGCATCGTAATATACTGCCTCTTCCGTTACCTGCACCAAATCCTCGATTGAAACGTCCCCACATAAGTTCTTCAGGTGAACTACTATCATACGTACATGGATGCCCACTGTCTGCTTCGTCTCTTCTCGATACGTTGGCAATATCTCCGATGACCGTAAGTGCTTGCTCACTGTTGAATCCTCCATAGTCGGGGATGATTGTGTACGTTTTTCCCCTGTCTGTACTATGTTCACTTCGAAATCCCCATCGCTCCCAACATCGGTGAAGGAATCTCTCTCCGAAATACTTGCCATTATCTCTATTCATCGATAACTGGAAAGCCACCTGCTGGCACAAACTTATAAGCAACTGATTACTTGTCCAAATAACAGAATATTCTTCAGAAACATTTTCAGTATGGACTACTATGGCACTGCGTGTTAATGGTTTAAATATTATATACAGTAAGAGATGATGTGAAAGGAATTACAGTATATATTAACATTAAGAAACAAGCGTGAGATATACGTAGTATATGTGATTACAGCATCCTTGGGTATTATGTTCTTTGAAATACGAGTACAATTGTGTTCAATTTCTCAAAAAAGTTTCTTAACATCTAAAACTGTGCTTGAGATAATTTCTTCAGTTTGGATCTATTCAACAAGATGATAACTGAGAAATGAGTTACTAGTTGAAAGGTATAATGACAAAACAGCAGATGAACACAATGTCACTATGTAGCATTCATAATTTTATACATAAACGTATAAGAACAGTAAAGTTGTTCTTGTACTTAATGAAGGACCAGACATACAAATTTTGGTGGAATAACTCCACACACATTCTTAGCCTTGGCACTAGTTAGAGACTATGGGCCAGTTTCACTTTCTAACTGCTTTATTAGTCTCTGGTATCCACCGAACACGCTTTTCAAGTAAAGCTATTTCCACCACCTAAGCATCATAACTATCAGTCTCAATAACATGTATGTAGGAATGAGTCCCCAAATTTTAATTAAAACAATTTTATCTCCCTTACTTTTTCTAGTGATCTAGTGATCTGTTACCTAGTTCTCAATATTCACTTCTACCCCTGATTGTGTGCTCAGTTTCTGGAATGTGCCACAGAGGTGTGTATTTGAAAAGAAATCTTATATAGTACAACACAATATTTAGCGCAGGTTCATGAGCAGCTGTAAACTAATAGTATTTATGTTATTATATTTCTTTTGTTCGTGATGAGGAATTGAATTCAGTTGATTTCTGGAGATAGTGGTCAAAGGTGATTGAGAAGAAATGGCTGGAAATTAAGGAGACTGTGCCGTTAATTAAATTGTCAGGAAGACTGTGATAAAGCTGTTGACAGGATATACTTGCCAGACATCAGAACCTTAGTGTGTGCGTGTGCAACAGTCAATTAGAAAATGTGTAGAAATGCAGTAGCTCTGCACCATCTATAGTCCTGTATTGTGTGAATGTAAAAGGTGCAATAAATGCAATCATCCAATCGACAACCCCATAATATTACTAACCCATGCACCCGACCGTAACGTCCATGTACGTTTCCTGTGTATAGCAACTTCATGTAAGATACAGTACCTGAATCATTAATTGCACTTCTTGTGACTTCTCCCTCATTCTTTGCTCTCTCTTTCCCGGAAATACCTTCTTCTGCCCCTCGTCTAATGATTTTCTCCACGTTCGTTCCATTATCACCTAAAACATTGTTGATTATAATATAATAGTAGTAGTACTAGCAGCAGCAGCAGTTAACAGCTGCAGTTTTACTGCAATTGTTGGGTGGCTGCTATCCCGAATAAAATTTTAAGGGCTTCTCCTATATTAATTAGTCCTCTCAACTTTGGACATAGGTGTTTTGGGTTATATTGGCATACTTTAACATAAGGAACACCCTCCCGAAGTTTGGCACATTCCTCCTGGGACACCCTGTAGTTTCCGGTGACTAAGAGTTCGCGTTCTCAGAGNCGATGAGTCCGACTCCATTCCAATGGTTAAAATCTTGCTCGATGAACTGTAGGGCAGTTTGGTACCACTGAACATCGAGATTGATCACCAGATTCAAATAGTTTCCGGTGACTAAGAGTTCGCGTTCTCAGAGAA